GTGGAAATTGAACCGGCAACCCTGTTGCTCAGAGCTCACGTTCTAACCAACTAAGCCACTCAGCCAGCCCTTCTTTGCTGACTTTTTAGTTGAGCTATTAAGCTTATTTGTTATAAAAGTTCTTTAGTCTTGATATTAAACCCAAATCAGATATTTGACTTGCAAATATTTTCTCTTCTGCAGGTTGCCTTTCCACATTCTTGATAATATCCTTTAAAGCAAAAAATTTGTAATTTTGATGAAGTCCAATTTTCTTCTTTTGTTGCCATATCTAAAAACCCATCACCAAATCCAAGGTCATGAAGATTTGCCCATTTTCTTCCAGAAGTTTTATTATAGTTTTGGTTTTTACCGAGTTTCCCCAAAAATAAGACCTAGTGGAAGAAGCCCCAGCATGATTCCTCCAGGACATGGAGGGCACGCACACCTCACATGAGGGTTTTACGACCTGTTTCAGGGAGAAGGGTGCCTTTTCCACAAACTCTTTCAACTTAAAATATTCAGTATGCCAAGGTGCCATATGTTGACACCTAAAATCATGCTATGGCTATTTTCTGGCTGGGTCTTATTTTCAGGGAAACGGTATATTTCTATTGTTGATCCATTTTGAGTTAGTGATATACGGAGGAAGAGATCCAACTTCCTTCTTTTGCATGCAGTTATCCAGTTGTCCAGCACCATTTGTTGAAGAGACTATTCTTTTCCCAATGAAAGGTCTTAGCACTGTCAAAAATCAATTGGCCACATTCGCAAGTTTACTTCTGGATTCTCAATTCTATTCTATTGGCCTATGTCTATCCTTGACAGTACCACACTGTTCTGATTGCTGAAGCTTTGTAGGAAGTTTTAAAATCAAGAAGTCTGGGTCCCCCAACTTTGTTCTTTCTCAGGATTGTTTTTGCTATTTGGGGCCCCTTGCAACTTCATATAAATTTGAGGATCAGCTTCTACATTTCTGAAAAAGCCACTGGAAAATATATATATATTTTATAACCATATCCAGCTGGTCTTTATATATATATAGTTTCAGATGTATAGAACAATGTAACATACATTTCACCCCTCACAGTGACAATGCCCCTCCCCCCAATCGATTGCCCCTCTTACATCATATATATTACAATTCCATTGACTCAATTCCCTATACTATACTCCATATCCTGTGACCATATATATATATTAAATTACAGTTGACATACAATATAATTCAGCTTCAGGTGTAGTGGTCAAGCATCTATACCATCCATGAAATGGTCTCCCTTAGAAGACATGTGCCCATCTGACACCCTACAAAATATTTATAGTCCCCAAATTGTCTCATATCCCTGTGATATTGTAGTTACCATTATATGCTTTCTAATCCCTTCCCCTTCTCCCTCATCCCATTAGCAACCATCAGTTTTTCCTCTGTATCTCTGAGGCTATTTGTTTACTTTGCTCCACTGGAATTTTGATAGGAATTGCACTGAACCTATAGACTTTTGGGAAATGCTGCCATTTTAACAATATTAAGTCTTCCAATCCATGAACTTGAGATCTCTTCCCATTTATTTAGGTTTTCCTTCTTTCATGATGTCTGTAGTTTTCAGTGTACAAATCTTTTAGCTCCTTGGTTAAATTGATTTGTAGGCATTTTATTCTTTTGGATATTATAGAATTTTTTAAATTTCCTTTACAGGTTGTTCATTGCTGGTATGTAGAAATACAATTGATTTTTCTGTGACCTTTTATCCTGCAATTTTGCTAAATTCGCTTACCAGCTCTAGTACCTTTCTTATGATTCTTTGGAATTATATATAGAATCATACTTGTTAAGTTTTACTTCCTCCTTTTCCAATTTGAACCTTTTCTTTTTCTTGCCTAACAGTTCTAGATAGAACTTCCAGTACAATGTCGAATATCAGTGGCCAAAGTGGCACCCGTCTTGCTCCTAATCTTAAGGAGAAAGTTTTCAGCCTTTCACTTTGTTAGCTGTGGGTTTTTCATGAATCCTTTTATCATGTTTAGAAAGCTCCCTTCTATTCTTAATTTGTTTAGTGTCCCTATCAAGGTTGACAAAAAGGTGGGAATTTTGCCAAATGCTTTTTCTGCAGCTACTGAGACCATCATGAGGTTTTTTCCTTCTATTAATGTGGTTTGTTGAACCACCCTTACACTCCTGAAGCACCCCCATACCACGTCTTTTTTTTTCATTAAGTTCTCCTTTGCATTTAGAATTGTCTTCCCCATAGACAGCAAGCGGCCACCTCTTATATCTGCACCCTTTAAGCTTGATATACTAAGTAGTTCAGTGACCATCTCAATTGAACATAGACTTTGGATGGAAGAAATCATGGAGGCCCTACAATGCAAAAGTTGGGTAAGGTTATATGTAGGTGTATAACCCTGAAATAAAGTTATACAAAAACTGTTCCTTACTCAATAGGATTTTCATTTTTAGTTATTTACTTCATACTTTATTGTACAAAAATAAATATGATAATCTAAAGTACTGCTCAAGAAGATTTCTAGATAAGTTCTTTCCACAGAGGATACACCAATTTCCAACCTCAGCAACACTGTATGAGTGTTTATTTCAACAAACTGATCTTTGCCAGTTTGACAGGTTAAAAATCTCATTATAGTTCAATTTGGTAGTTTCTTGGTTATGACATTGCACATCTCTACAAATGTGTAGTAAAATATTTTATAAGGGAAGCAACTAAAATTAGGGCTAATTTTTCCAAGGCACCCCTTCTTGGCTCTATTAAGCACCCGATATTACCAAAGTTTTCTAAAAATGAACAGATCCACCAGGTGCATTTAGAATATCCTACTAAGAGTTTATTATAAATTTGCTTCACACCACAAGGAAATAAAAGGACTATGTACAGCCTTTCGGAACAGGCAAGGAGCTGAGGAGGGCCAAGATGAGTCTAGGGCCTTGGTGGGCGCATTCCTAAGGGAGGGGGCCCTGTAAGGGAAACCAGACAATCCGGTGAGACTCCACGAACAACGGCATAACAAACAAACAGGTCTGCAGTAATGTGGCCCTGAGGAACCGGGCTCACGCCTCTGTGTGGCTACTTCCATAACTCTGTGGCCAAGGGTCAAAGAAGGCCT